GATGATCCTTGCAAGGATATCTGCCAGTCTTAAGACCATCATCTTTGTTATCACCTTACTACAAAAGTTGCTTAGGCTTATAGGCCTGAAATCAGAAAAGGATGAGGGATTTACCATCTTGGGGACCAGCGCAATTGAGGTACTGGTAATTGCCTTTGTGAGAGCTTTGTCAGCAAAAAAGCTTTGGACCATTTTCAAGAGGTCCTCTTTTATTATCTCCCAGCAGATTTGATAGAACCCCCCACCAAAGCCATCAGGGTCTGATGCACTGTTGGGGTTCATCCTAAAAACACTAGCTTTAAGTTCTTCCATTGTTGGTTCAGCACACAGCTTCTCATTTTCCTCTTGCGTCACCATTGCCTGCAAACAATTAAAAATAGAATCATCATAGTTAAGAGACTCAGCAGTGTACAACTTCTCAAAGAAGTCCACTGCCAAGTCAGCAATTTGCTCCTAGTTTTCCACCCACTCTCCCCTCTCATTTTTGATCTTGTGTATAAACTGTTTTCTCCTTCTCTCCCTCACCATCCCATGGAAATACTTTGAGTTCCTTTCACCTTCAACCACCCATTGAGAATGAGCCTTCTGCTGCCAGTACTTTTCTTCAATGGCAATTTGTTTCTCCAGCAAAGCTTGAGCCAATTTATACTGTATTAGGTTGGTATCATTGGGTTCCCTCTGAATCTCCTCTTCCCATTTTCCCACTTCTTCCTCACACTCTTTCAACTTTTTGAAAATATCCCCAAAGGTTTCCCAGTTCCAGTCTTTCAGAACATATTTCAGCCTCTTCAACTTAGTCATGAAGACATACATTGCATTGCCTTCAACTCTCTCCTCCCAAGCCTTCTGAACCAAAATTAATAGCTGATCATGCTCACCCCAGGCATTTAAAAAAGAGAAAAGGCTTTTTTTTTTTTTTTTTCTTTTCTAACTGGATTTGTTCAGAAATGTCAATTAAAAGAAGAGAGTAATCAGATGATGCCTTAGCAAGATGCTGTGTATATGTTTTCAAAACAGCTTCCCATGCCTCATTGACAATGCATCTCTCAAGCCTCTCCCAAACTGCCTGGAGTCCCCTTCTTCCATTCCACCAAGTGAAGGTATTTCCATAGTAGGTGACCTCTCTCAGATCAGCCCCATCCACATAATCCTGAAATTCTTTACTTTTTGCTATGTTATAATGAGTGACTCCCCTTTTCTCTTTAGCTCTTAAGATATAATTAAAGTCTTCCATAACTGCCAACTTTTCCCTGCCTACAAAGCTTTCAGCTATGTCGCTTAAGTTATTCCACAGCTCCAATCTGATTCCTCAATTACAACTAGCATAGACCAAGGAAAGGAATACATGATTTCCTCCTTCCAGTTCAGCTTTGATAGTCACCACTTGATCTTTTATTTCATAAACCTGGACATTTGTATCTGCAGTCCAAAAAATCCAAATTTTCTCATTCCCAAAGCAATTATTTCTACTTAAACCTACAGAGCCTGCAAAGTTATTAATCTGAGCAGTGTCTCTGAAAGGCTCAAGCAAACAAACTATTTTTGGTTTGTACAATCTCACCAAGTTCCTGAGTCTGTGAGGGGAGCCTTGGGAGCCCACTCCCCTCACATTCCAACAAAGGACTTTCATCTTTTTTTTCTTAGGAGAGGCCTTGTTACCTCTCTTGCAAGATTTCAGGTTCTGGTTCTGCTCTTGTTCAACATTCTGATTTTGGCTTGGTTGGGCTCTAGTTCTAGTTCCCACTGGAGGAGAAACATGCAGCCTTTGATATTCCTTTTCATTATCAATCTCAATCTCAACAATCTTCTGGATTGTGTCTTGTTCTTCTCCTCCACTTGATCCCCTAGAGTCAGAAATATCTCTTTCCTCTGAAAATTCTCTCTCTTGACAACCAGCTTCTACATCCCTCCACCTTCATCAGGTCCTGGATCAATCTCGTTGATCCCTGATTCCCTTATTCATCAATGTGGCCTAGAGTTTGGAAAGAGCCACCCTCTACCACATTTAAGTCCTCCATCTCCTTTTCTCTACTTAGCTCATACTCAGCTGGTTCTCTAATAACAATACCTTTATTTTTCTGTTTTAAGTATCCTCTTCCTCCCCCCACACCAAGTCCTCATCTCCCACCCCTTCCTCTAAAATTGTTACCTCTTCCTCTACCCATTTCTGCCCTCATGGTGTCAAAAATATTTTCCTGATCTTCCATCTGATGGTCCCCACTTCTACGCTCATTATTCTTAACTCCTGAAATACTAGCCTTACCCTCATTTTGTTTTGCCACATTCTCAAATTATTGAGCCTCAACCTCCAGAATTCATTTTTCCTTTTTGTTATCATTGCTTGATCTCACACCTTTCTCCCTCTCCCTCACTGGCTGGGGTTGAACACCCTCTTTTCCCCTATTTTTACTTGCACATCTGGTTCTCCCTCTAGATCATTCTCCTCTCACTTCCTTCCTTCCTCTATCACAGTTTGCATTGTCAAAAGTGTTGTTATTGCTTGATACCACTCCCCACCTACAGAAATCAATAGAATGACCTTGCTTATAACAATTAGTGCAGTAATGAGGAACCCTTTCATATTCCACTTTCTGAAAGTAACCTAGGTCTTCTTGTCCAGGATCCTCAGAGAAAACTATAAATATTTCTTCGATTCTTGGTGCAGCAAATCTATTTCAACTCTAGCCCTTGCATAGCTAGGCCTAGTAAAGTTCAGAGTAGCATGATCTGGAGCTAAGAATTTCACAATTGGCTTGCAGACTTGTTTTAAAGCATTAGTATTGAAAAAGGCTCATACATAGCTAAAGGAATCTAATCCAGACTAAAGCCAAGCTTGTGCTCTCTTTCAGTATTGAACCTTGCAGACCATCTAAACACTCTCATAGGATATTTATCTTTTACCATAACCTGATCTTTCATTAGGAACCTCAAGCAATATGCCTCTTGTGCAAAAGCCATAGTTATATGCCTTTGATCCATCCATTCTATTACCAGACTGCCTTTTAGAACAAATTTTGCAGTAAAATACTTCCTTATATCATCTAAAGAAGGTCTCCCCCAAGAAAATTTTCCAACCAACAAATAATCCTCAATTTGATATTCAGCTGCTTAAATTCCTCATTGCCAAACCTAATTGCTGGCTTTCCTCTATGTGATTTAGTGATTTTTTTTTCAGAGATTGAGGGCTGTGGTAGCCCTCCAAACACATTTCCATCTCCTTTGCTAATGTCATCTGTAAATAAGCCTGCAAAGCTTCTGGGTGGCATTCTCTGATTCCAAGTTTGGTTTCCAAAGAAGTCTCCCTTTAACAAATTTGTGTTTCTAGTGTTCCCTCCCAAACGAGCTTTCTAAGGTTTCTTTGGGACATTTTCCCAAACAGGTGGTGGGGGTGCTGTGTTTGGAATCACATCTGATTGAGCCGCAAAGGACACTCCCTTCATCTCAGTATTCAAAGTTCTATTCTGATCTTTCGAAAAATTCTGCAATTCTGGATTTGGATCTACAATCGAGTTAGGGATCTTCTCCATAGCTTTCCCAGGAGCTGTAGTTGATTGATGATGAGCTCTCGGAGCTCCCATATCTCTTGCTATGTCTCTATTAACCTGCGATTCCGTGCGGTCTGGAAAATTCTCCTCAATGTCATACAAACTTTCGATTTGAACCTTCTCTCCCATTTTTGGACCATCAACCTCCAGATTAGAGGTCGCTAGAGCCTCCTTCTTGCCTCTAATCTTCAGCTCCCCAACTGTAACATCTTCCAGTCTTCGCGATTAAAGAATCGCCTCCAGATCTCCTTGCGGCTTCGCAGATTCGCACTCAGGTTCCGATGGCTTTGAGGCCATCGGACCACCCTCCGGTGGTCTAGACAGGGGCGGAGGCCCCTTAGGACCTTCGCCTACTTCCAGGCTTCACGTCGCCGGTGATAAATGGATGATCGACCGGTAGGATCCGAATCGGTGGCGGGTTTTCTATCCGGGTCGGTCCAAAAGTAGATTATCCGGGTTTGAATAACAGCGTAAGGAAATGTTCAAAAAATTGTTGCTGTCTTTTGTTGATATCTTTATTAGGCTATATTAATTTTTTAGCCGTTTTTATGGGCTTGGGCAGAGATAATTATGGTCTGAAATCACATGTCAAGATTTGAAGCAGTCTTTTTGCTGTCTCTTCGCTTCCTCTTCGGTTGCGTGTGTTGATTTCTTCTCCGTTAGGCTCGCTAGGTTCCATTCGTGCTGATCTGTTGTTCCTTTTTTCTCCGTCCAGTCACGCTAGGGAAGCCGTCCCGGCTCTGCCCATGCCGTTCAAGCAGTCATCATGGCGGGTTCTACCAATAAGCGTTCCAAGCATCAAATGGGTGGTTTTTCTGGTTCCCATCCAGGTATTCCAATTCATCGTTATGTTTTGCTTGGTTTGCTTCGTTTATCTGTTGTTTTGTACTTATTTTGCATTTTCCGGCGAGGAGAGCAATGCCCGACGTGTTTTTTTAGTGTGTTAGTTTCCAGTTTGGGGGGGTTTTAGCCTGGTCCTAGGGTTTTTTTTCGTCGCTTATTTGCAGTTTCTTTCGTCTGGTGTACTGCCGTGGTTTTTTTTTTTTTTTTTTTTTTTTTTTTTTTTTTTTCTATGTGTGTTTCCCGGTCTGGGGGTTCTCTGCATGGCTGTGTTTGGCGGTTTTTGTGTGGGGGGTAGGGTCTGGTGGTGATTCGCGGTCGGGTGGGTAGGGTTCCAGCCGAAAGTTTTTTTGTTTTTGTTTTTGTTTTTTTTTTTTTGTTTATGTTGTAATTTTTTTATTCTTTTCGGAGTGGGGTAATGCGGGGTTTTTTTTTTCCTGCGTTTGGTGTTTCCGGGTTCGATGTTGCCAGCCTGCCGAGGTTTTGTGGGGTTGGGGTGGTGCTATTGTTGTGTGGTGTTCCGGGCTGGCAGTGATGGGGCGAGGGGATGGATACGGTGAAGTTCCCACCAATCATTCCCCAGCTCAAAAGCCAGAAAACTCGATTTTTTCGCAATCACAGTTTCAGAATCTTGGCGGCTCGGACCACCGGATTTTCCCTCACAATCGCCTCCTGGCTGGCCACCTTGTAATCAAACAAACAGTTGTGGCGATCGGAGTATCTATGCTTCAGTGCTTGGAGCAGAACACCTCCCCGCACCGGCACCGGAATCCCACTAGACCAAATTTTCGCCGTCATCCCGCTCCCGAGCATCGGCAAACCGCAAACGTCCCTGGGCATCTTCAAGGATCGAATCTCCGACGCCTTGCTCGTTTTTTTTGTCTCCGATCTTTGCGGCGACCACGCCGGGTTAGATCTCAGGTCACAACCACTCCTCATTATTCGAATCTGAGCTCTTAGGTGATATGGCAGAAGCAGAAGACAGAACGCTGAATGTTCTTAGAGATAGATGCCTCAACGTTATTGTCTGCCTTCTGTTATCATACAAAACGTTGGCTGTGGAACCAATATGAAATATACACTCAGAACCTAAAAAGACACTTTTACCCCTCAAATAAACGTCTACTTAACCAAGATATAACGGAAGGACCTCAATTGGAAAGATTTTAATAATCGGATGGTTAAATTGTCCAAATTAAAAGTCCATGTCCAATTGTGGAAGATCATCATACTCGGGGGACCATTGCTGGAATTATCTTTATCTCTCTCTCTCTCTCTCTCTCTCTCTCTATATATATATATATATATATATATATATATATATATATATATATATATATATATATATATATATATATATATATATATATATATATATGTATGTATGTATGTATGTATGTATGTATATATGTATGTATGTATGTATGTATGTATGTATGTATGTATGTATGTATGTATGTATGTATGTATGTATGTATGTATACTCTTTTTTTTTCAAAGTTAATATTTTTGTTTAAGATAAAATTTAAACCATTAATTTTAAAATTAAAATTAAAAATACTTTCTACTAAATTAAAAATTTTAATCGAATTGTAATATTAATTTTTTTTAAATACTTGTAATGTTTATAATATCATTTGAACATAATTTTTTAATGTATGTATGTATGGTAGATTAATAAATTTATTAATGCATTATAAAAATTAACAACTTATTAATATTACAAAATGCATTATAAAGTTTTTTTGGGTTTTAGTCAGTTGGATTGATGAATTAAATACATTTATAAAAGATTTTTAATTTGAATTTGCTCTTAATATTTAGTAACATTAAGATGCGTGCAGTAATATGCAATAATTGACAATTAACATTTAAATATAATGTTTCAAGTAAATAATCTATAAATATAGTGTTGGAAGAAGCATTATCTAAGTAAATTGGAAACACTTTATTTATTAATTTAAACTCATCCAAGCCTAAGTAAGTCGTGCCTAGACCGGTTATTAGGTTGTTGGAGATAATGAACCAAAATCGATTTAATATTGCAAAATAGTATTTATATATATATACACACGCAAATATATAAAATACTATTCGATATATGTCCGAGATATATATATATACACACAAATATATATAAAACGGACCCAAAGGTTATATATATATATATATATATATATATATATCTACGAAAACGATATACCAATATATATCAACCAAAAATTGGAACTAATAATCCTCAAATTATAAATCCAATCCAACCACAAAAACAAATATAGAGAGAGGATTTTAGCTTAGAAGCATAATCCAAACCGAAAAAAAGAATGAATGATGGCTCGTGTTTGGGTATAGGGTTCTAAGCGCGAGTCATGAGACCACTCTTTCCTTAAAACCTTATTTGCCACCTCCAAAAAGTGCTAGGAGCGTTGTGGCCTAGGTTTCTTAGGATAAAATGTGCTACGGTTCGACGTTTGAGCACCCAAACGAGCGAACCCGGCAAACTAGAGCAAAAGCCTTGAACACAGTTAGGCAAAGAAAGGAGTAGAAGCAGAGATTTTGGAGCTGGAAAAACGTGCAAGTGTGTATCTCTCTTGTTCCACTGTGTCAACAAAATCTGCTATCCTACTACATTCATTCTTATATAGGAGGTGGAGTACTCAATAGCATTCATGATAGCATTCAACACTTGTTCTGTAACTCCTGTAACAGCAGCCATAAGTTGAGTTTTAATTTATAATTCCGTAACAATTGAATTAAAACCCAACGGTCGCAACAGGACACGAGAAGACGGAGGCCGACAGGTGCCGGTGCATACGAGCTCGGGTTTGAATCAAGAAATAAGGTTTTAAGAATGTAGGAACCGTTGGTAGGAAAACAATAATAATCAAATAAAATTGACTATTATTTTCTAGAAAGAAGGGAAGAAAAGATGAAGAAATTTGGCTAGTGTTTGGTGTTGGTTTTTGCAAGAGTCAAGTGAGCACTCTTTCCTTAAAACCTTATTTGCCACCTCCCAAAGATGCTAGGAGCGTTGTGGCCTAGGCTTCCCAGGATAAAACTTGCTAGTGATTCAATGTTTGAGCATTCAAACAAGGAATCCGGCGAGCAAGACACGGCTATGAACACAGGAGGCTAAAGAATGAGTAGAAGCAGAGAGGTTTTGAGGCTAAAAAGAAGAACTTTCATGTTCTATTTCTGTGTGTAAACTCTACTGCCTCTACCCTCTCTTATATAGGGTTGAAGGATTAAATAGCTTTTAATAGGGCACTTTAAAACGCTCCCCACTACTCCTGGTAACAGCAACCATTAACCTGAGCCTTAATTCAAAATTAAAATTAGAATTAATTCAAAAAATTAACTCCATAGCAGCTGAATTAAGACCCCAACGGTCACACCAGGAGCTTTAGTTCGGCCATGCCAAAGGCCGAACTTTCAACTAGCAGGCCGAAACTTGCAAGTTTCGGCCAAGCCCTCAGGTGGCCGAAACTTGCAAGTTTCGGCCACTAGGTGCATGTTTCGGCCAATAGGCCGAAACCTGGCTCGCATGTCTCGGCTTGGTGGCCGAGACTTCTCAAGTTTCGGCTAGTAGGCCGAAACCTCAGTGGCTCTCTGTGTTGGAAAAATAGTACCGAAGTTTGACATAACTTAGCCCGCAAGGCCAGCCAATTTCCGGACGACATTCGTGCCCGCAGGTGCTGGCGCACATGAGCTCGGGCTTGAATCAAACCTTTTTCAATCTCGTCTAGTTGGAATTTGATTTGCACACCCCCCTTCCCGCGCGAGAGAGCCTCTATGCTATACAATTCTACAAGCTTCAAAAGAGCTCTTGTATATAAGGGGGGAAAATCGTCATTCCAAAGCAATGTGGGACAAAAGCTCACTTTTTCCCTTCATTTTCGAACTCAAATGGGTCTACTTTGAGAATCAATATCTCATTCACCCATTATCCATTTTGAGCGTACAATATATCGATCTCTTCGTCTCACTACGAAGAATCCAAATCCACTTTGACCTGACCCAAATTGGAAGTGGACCCCACTGATAATTGTACCACAAAATAGCCACTTAACATGCCATTTTATGCCATTTTAAGCTATTTTTTCCAACAATCCCCCACATGAATGAAAAATTGATTTTCGGGGTATTTTGAAACTGGAAACAACTGTGTTCAAACGGTCAATCCCTGCATAGGATAGGTAGGGAGTCACTATACCCTTTGAACCTTCCCTCGTGAAGACATGTTTACTCTACTGGCTGTAAGGTAGAACGCGATGTCTTTGAACCGACTGCCATTTGTGTAGACGATGACATATCTCACACAGGAATCTCCCAACCATGCTCTTGCTCTCATTTGTGTGCCCGTTTTGGTCGTGGGTCACCGTTCCTGGTTCTGCGAGAGTTTCTAAAGAATTGTGCCCAAACAATTCTCCTTTGAAGCGACCCTCACTTCTCTCTAACATAGGTGATTCTTTCTCGAGTATCCCGCATACTCAAGAATCATTAAAGCATTAACATGCTAGCCTCTTGCGGGAGTCACTGTTTTAACGAGGAGTGGTAGGGGGTCCGAGACCACCACAGTGACGCGCTCCGTTCCATAATTTAGTTGTCCCATTGAACCTAGGTGCCAGCTAGGTTGGGTATCCACTATAGAACTTTTTAGTCCAAGGGCATTAGACTCATTCCTCATGTCAACTTCTCCACAACTTCTTTGCCTAACCCTTTGGTCAGCGGATCCTGTCTTTTGGCTTTACGTAGTCAATCGAGACAACACCAGTTGTGAGTAGTTGTCTAATGGTATTATGTCTACGACGCACGTGTCTAGACTTACCATTATACATATAACTCTGTACTCTCCCAATTGTGGCTTGACTACCGCAATGCACACATATTGGAGGTACCGGTCTTTCCCAATTAGGAATATCCTCTATAAAATGGCGTAGCCATTCAGCCTCTTCACAACCTTTGTCCAAGGCTATCAGCTCAGATTCCATCGTGGATCTAGCTATCACAGTTTGCTTAGAGGATTTCCATGCAACGGCTGCACCAGCTAGTGTAAACACGTAGCCACTCGTGGACTTAGAGTCCTTAATATCAGATATTCAATTCGCGTCGCTATACCCTTCAAGTACAGCGGGATATCTCCCGTAGTGCAGTCCAAGATCACGAGTATACCTCAAGTATCTCATAACCTTTACTATTGCCTTCCAGTGCATAGCACCGGGGTTACTCGTATATTTACTAAGTTTAATAATCGCATAGGCAATATCCGGCCTAGTACAGCTCATAAGATACATCAAACTACCAATAACCCGAGCATATTCCACTTGTGAAATACCTTCTCCGTGGTTCTTGGTCAGATGAATGTTTGTATCAAATGGTGTCCTAGCCACTTGACTATCATCCTTGTTAAATTTCTCAAGGATTTTGTCAATATAATGTGATTGGCTCAACACGAGACCATCAGGTATTCTAATGATTCTATTCCCGTGGATTAAATCAGCCAAACCCATATCCTTCATGTCAAATCTCGCATTTAACATGTTCTTGGTAGACTTGATCATCCTATCATTACTACCAACGATGAGAATATCATCGACATATAAACAAAGAATGACGTAGTCGTCTATCGTTTCCTTAACGTAGACACATTTGTCACTTTCGTTTATTTTAAACCCGTTAGTTAACATCGCATGGTCAAACTTCTCGTGCCACTGCTTAGGCGCTTGTTTCAAACCATAAAGCGATTTAACCAACTTACACACTTTCCTTTCTTGGCCCGGAACCACAAACCCTTCGGGTTGTTCCATATAGATTTCCTCATCTAATTCACCATTTAGGAAAGCGGTTTTCACATCCATTTGATGAACTTCCAAGTTCCGCAACGCGGCTATGGTAAGTATCATCCTAATGGAGTTTATTCTCGTCACGGGAGAATACGT